TGGCGCCAGACAACAACCTGCTGCGGGGGATTATTGCAGCTGTAGCAGCTAAGTTTGCAAGGCCTAGTGCCCGTGTCAGGCGATTTCCATTCACAGGTGTGCCACATCTGTGGTTGCCCTCCAGAGCCGATCGAAGGTGATCGTTCACTCACCTTCGCCTAGGCTGTGCCTTTGAGAGTATAGGCATGTCACATATATACACGCGTATCGAAGTAGCGATGGGGATGTCTGGAAAGATCGTTGATTATAGGAGAAGCTTTCAATTTTATTTCTTCATACAAATTAATGGCGATTAAAGGGAACCAGAGACAGAGGAGAAAGACGAAGTAAATTCCATAACAACGATGAAAACCCCAAATATTACGTAGGTGCAGTGGTAGCAGAATCCGGCAGAGATCTAGACTCTACGTAAGCAGAACGAGCAATGAAATGGGCTTCTTCCGACTAATTCCGCTCTGTTGTGATCTGACATGCATTACCATGCACTATTCCTGAGAAGCATTGAAGGAATCGAGCGAAGAATTCGATGGTAGAGGTTGTTCCAAGCGAAGGACGATGCTCGAATGAAGCACTTATATTGGCAACACATCTCCCAAATCATAACGCTGTCCAGTGTAGCCAAAACGATCCAGTTGAGATCACACCACAGTCAGCAAAGGGAGCACTGGTTGGTCGCAAGGTAGGACCAAGGGAGACAAAACAGCATTTCAGAGAATAAGGAAGTCTACCCTAATTTCCGGTGTATAAGCCCGCGCCGATTTCATAAAACCACCCCCGCTCGGCTTTTTAAACTTCGCTCTCTACCGATCTGCAAAAAACTCTCCAAAGTAGCTGTAGGCGAAGAACATGGAAATGAACGCCTTGTACATAAAAACGCTGAAGAGTCCAATCAGAAAGGCTTTCGAAACGTGCCTGCTCTCTGAATAGACTTTAGGGGCACATGCAGGGACAAGAAAACCATGTTTTTTTCCTGAACAATCCCACAAATACTAAGAGAAAAGGAAGGGTTCGATCCCGTGGTACATTTTTTGCGTTCTGATTTAGTGCCTCCAAATTGCACCACATGGCGCATGTTGTCAAAAATGGATGAAACATCCTCTACATACGCCATCAATATCCCCTATAGGCGAATGTTCACTGGGAACTAGGAGAGAAGGTTATGGCGTCAAGGCCGCTCCATCATGGAGCCGAATCGTGCCAAAGGGCAACATTCGGTGCCGGCGGCAAAAAATAAATGTCATGTTTATGACATATGTTTGTAACAAATGTCGGAGCACGAATAACCCTTACTGCAAAAGTTCAGGGAAAATCGAGATTCCGGCTAAATTTCGAAAACCTAGCACTGGGTTAGTTAGTGACAAATCTTGAATGCCAGCGGGTGACCTAAGGTTCATCACGGAAAACTGGCGGTGCGACTGGCCAGCAATTCACATGAGAACAAACTTCCTTTTCGAGGTTCACATTTCAGAGTTCGTGACCCCTGAGATCAAGCTATCGACATAAAAAGAAAGGAGAAAATGGGGAGGGGAGGGGGAGTACGGGTGCCTCATCACATATTTTTTGCTGAAGAAGTAAACAGGTGAGTTTGTCCTGGTCCCCTATGCCATCATAAGTAAGACGGCTATCACTGCTCACTCTGGGAAGAACTCCGCATTACATGAAGTTGATGAGTTGTTTTTTCCATTGTAGACACCATCGGACAGCGCACTAAGAGGGATAGTAAGCAATGACTGTAAGGCAGGGATAGCCGAGTGGTTAAGAGGTTAGACTCATGTCTGCACCTCTGAAAACCGCGAGTTCGATCCCTGCCGAGGTTAACCATGCCTTGCAAAAATTGCAAAAATGGTTCTAGTACCAGCGTCAGGCCCAGGTTGACAGGCCGGCTGATGAACACCCCAGTCACACCAAACATGTCTAAAAGTCGCAAAAGAATCAGTGTTAATACTAGGACGTCACCCGGAAGTGGCGCGCGGGACCCGCGTCCGAGTCCTGTGGTCTTCCAAGCTCAAGAATATTTTTCAACAGAATATGAAGATTCAAAGCAGAGTTTCCACGCCATTCACACGACGACTGCATTGTCCAAGCAGTATTATAAGCTGATCAGAGAGCTCTAAAAGTCATCAATGTTAATGCTTCAACAGATGCTTTACGATCTTTAGTAGCCAGTTACAGCTCCCTGGCGAAGAATTGGCTGCCCAGCACAGGCCCCTTCTGGCAGACATTGCCATAGACCTCCCCAAGAAGACAAGGGTAAGAACCGAGAGGAGAATCCGGTGGTGGAAGTTGCACCAAGCAGAGAAGGATGACCTCAGACGAAAGATAATGGAAGCTCCAGATCCGGAGACCATAAGATCGGATCCGGAATGTGACCTGACCATAGCAGGTGACCTGAATGGTCACGTCGGCAGTGACAGAAGAGGCCTGGAAAGGGTGCACGGAGGTAGAGGGATAGGAGTGAGGAACGCCGAGGGAGAGAGGGTCCTGGACCTGGCTACGCCCACGATCTGGCAATCTGCAGCACGTTCTTCGCGAAAAGGGAGACTCAAAAGGTCATCCTACAGCAGTGGAGTGAGGCAGACGGAAATGGCTCTCCAGCACAGTCCCCTCCTGGCAGACATTGCAATAGACCTCCCCAAAAGGACAAGAGTAGGCCTGATCTTACCGGTGAAGGACATGTACGAAGAAGCCGAGGCAGCCATACGCACCCCTCTAAAAAAGAAAACATCACGGTTGGGGTGCACCAAGGGTCAGCTCTGAGCCCGTTCCTCTTCCTCCTAACACTAGATGTCCTGGTGAAGGGGCTCATGGAAGGACCACTGAAGACCATCCTCTACGCTGACGACATCGCCCTGATAGCGGATAGCAGAGAGGAACTTCAAGCCAAGGTGCAGAAATGGCAGAAAGTCCTGGCAGAAGGTGGGCTCCGGCTGAATGTCAAGAAGACCAAGTTCCTGAGCTCCGAAGAGGGTGCAGAGCCGATCGTGGACGGCCATGGTGAGACCATCGAAAGAGTGGAGGACTTCCGCTACCTTGGGAGCGATCTGGCAGCCGACGGTAGTGTGGATCAGGCAGTGAAGGCTCGGTCAACGCTGCATGGATGAAATGGAGGGAGTCCACTGGAATCCTCTGCGATCGAAGGTGCTCCAGAGCGCTCAAAGGGAAGGTGTACCGGACAGTGGTAGGCCTGCGATGCTATACGGCAGCGAGTGCTGGCCCCTGAACAAGAACCACGAAAGGCAGCTTCACTCCGCTGAGATGAGGATGCTGAGATGGGCCTGCGGCTGGACGCGGCTGGACAGGGTCAGAAACGAGGATGTCAGAGCGGTCATGCAGACTGCCCCTGTCCAGCTGAAGGTGCGGGAGCAGCGTCTGCGATGGTATGGGCACGTGCTAAGGAGGCCACAGGATCATCCGATAAGAAAGCGATGGACTTCGAAGTGCAAGGCAAGCGACCGCGAGGAGCCCAAAGAAGAGGTGGAGAGACGTGATCAAGAAGGACCTAAGTGAAGTCATGGCCACAGCAGAAGATGCCCTGGACAGAGCAAAGTGGCGACGACTGACAAAGACAGCGGACCCTGCGACTGCGCGGGACTAACGCTAGGGAGAAGAAGAGAGGCCTATTCCCACGTTTGACCTGCTCCGCCTTCTCTGGGTAAAAGCGTATACGCCTTGAGCTGCGTCATCGCCTGTGTTTTCAGATCGTACATCAAAGGCACATCTCAGGCAGAGATCGTGCAAACGTTTCCCTTCGGTCTTTAGTATAGGTCCCTAAAAGAACAATCACAAATGTTGGCGTTCCTGTGCACGGAAAGCAACCGACGCCACATACTCTCCTCTCCGCGCTTTCTCTCTCATTCCCTTAGCACAGCCATTAGGAAGGTGAGTGAGCCCTTAACCTGAGCGTTTTCGACGGATTCTTTTCCTTTTTTCTTCACTGCCGGCCCACTTCGCACCGACACATTCACATTCGTGTGCAAGAGCCACACCAACTTGATCCTGGGGCATGCCTTTAACAATACTGATCTCGCGTCATTCCGTCCGATAGGCAATCCGCGTCGCTGGCGTAGCAAATATTGCATGGGTAGCAAACCTGTACTGCGCTATGCACGAATTTTAAGGCAGCGACTACGATAAGTTTTGGAGTTTAGAGACGCTTTGCTACACCAGTGACAAGAAAGGCCGAGAAATCCGTCAAGAAAACGCAAAATGGGACCCCTTTACTTGGTCGTCGATTTTCAACAAAGGACAGCAGCTGAGACGGCAGACATATAAACCAGTTTATCGTAAGGCGTTTGGTGATGGCCAATGTATGCTTAAGTCGAGTTGCTCCAGTAGTGTGACGCTGCTGGCAACATACTCGCCCAAATCAACAACTGAACCAGTGGACGGAGCGTTAAGGGGCTAGGGTCATACTCGCACTTTTTGGGGCTGAGCTACATCATGTGGCGCATATACCCTCTATTTCGGAAAATGAGAAGAGTGTCGACTGGACTACACACCACAAGTGACGACGGCCAAGAGAAAAGTACCTTTTTCTCTTTTTTTTCTTGGCCGTCGTCACTTGTGGTGTGTGGTCTGCACTCGACGCTCTTCTCGTTTCCCGAAACAGAGGGTACTTTTCCGATACGCTCCCCCTTCATCGTGATCGTTTTCTTCAAGCTTATGAATGAAACTGGGAGCACAGTCGAATCTTTTCTTTATTGGAGGGGGAGATAAAAGAAATCTGAACGACTTGTGTGTCAGCAGTTTTACTCTAGCAGCCCTAACAGACTCGACTGGCTCTTTCAGGATTCGGTCTTGTCACTCCATTGACATGGTGCGGTCGACTTTTCCTCATAATTTACGCCATTTTTGGCATTCCGTTGGCACTCGTCACGATTTCCGACATTGGAAAATTTTGTTGCGACTCAGCGTTCAAGTTCTTTCGGGAGGTTCGCATTTTATATACACCTCCACTAGCCCCAATCTTTTCATGTCATTTTCAGTCCACGATCGCATTTATGGCAGCGCTTGTCGTCCTGCTGTTGTTATATCCATTTGTGGGCGGGATTTGTATTCACAATGTATCGCAGTTATCACTTTTCGACAGCATCTACTATTGTTGCATCACTATCCTCACTGTCGGTTATGGCGACATCGAGTAAGAATTGCTACCTACTTGTAAACTGCAATTTATTTGTGTTTACTTAGTTTATTTATTTTTATTTTTATGATTAGTAGATCGATTAAAGTTACCTGGGTAACATCAAAAGCTGAGCGGTACCTCGAGTAGTCCTTTTTGTGCCTTTTTGTCAGTACTAGAATGAAAAAATGAAAAGAATCTAACTTAGAAATAAGGCTTTTGAAGGCTCAAAGTCATTTCAAAAAATTATTCAATACTTCGGTGCTCACGGCTTTCTCTAATCCTTCCTAATCTTTCCTGGAAATGTATACACACACCAATGCTGTGAAATGGTGGCGGAAGTGGTGCAGTGGCAAGTGGGGCTGTTCATCATGTGCACGATGCGGGTATCAATTCCTGATTGTGCACCGTCTAGGCAAATAACCCTTCTACACCTTTTGGATTGGCCTTATTGTAATACTTCTATGTGACAACGAAACGCTGACCTGTGTATCAGCTGACTCTAGAAGTTACTGCATAGGCTAAAACCCCACTTAATATACGTTGAATTCCGAATGGAAATAGAATACATGGTGCGCCCCCACAACAGAGGTTCCTGGACGCACATGTTGGTAAAAATTCGGATCTGGAGAACTTTCTTCGAAGACATCCCATTAATTTTCGAATGTGAGCCGTGAATGAAATGATGAAAAGCGGGTTGTTGTACTGAATATCTTCTTGGTCATCTCCAAACCACACTATGAGCTGCCCATGTTAATACTGGAGGTACTATTTTCAAAGCACGATGATTAGCGGTTATTAAGGAAGATAGGCGCTCTGTACCTCGCTCATTCGAGTTTTTAGATATGGAAAACTAATCTGCACTTCCTTTAGACCACCTATTTCCGTGCCATACCTAATATTGTTCATTTTCGTGGGCGTGACATTGGTGACCATATCAGGTTGGTATCAAGCGCTCCTTCATGGTGTGACTTGCGGAGATGGTGGTCGCCCATTGCAAAAGTGGTAACTTTTAAAAATTTAAATTTCTGTAGTGGATGTGGTGGCGACAAATATCATACACCAAGTGCACTACATGGGGAGACGAATGGGACAAGCGAAAGTGATAGCGGACAAAATGATGCAGGTGGATTTTTTTTACAAAGATTGGATTGTTGCGTTGTTGATGGCTTTTTCCTATTTCTTTCATTAGCGGCTTGCGCTACTCCTCGACGTATTGTTTCTGAGCCGAACTAGCTCACGTTGTGATGGTAGAATTCGCATTCAGGTAAAGCAATTACGATAGGGAAGGTGGCATCGGGGAGTATATGCGCCACGAAGCAGTTACTTGGCTGCCAAGGAAGCGAAGTGTGGCGCTTCCACGACGAAAGGTGCCTGGTTGCTGAGCAGGACTTCCGAAGCACTCCGCCCAAAAGCGTTACGCCCACTAGTTCAGTTGATGACTTGGGCGAGCTGTTTGCTGTTGGCTTTTCATTTTGGAGATCATTTCCCTTTTAGCGGCTGTATCTTCCAACTTGCCCATGTAATGCCTTATCAATCAAAACACTATGCTTGTTGGCATGATGGCGGCTATCGGGGTTAACACGTCCAAACAACTTCTTTCTTTGTAGCCGCTTATTCGTAGTCAGGAATGAACGGTCAGAAATACGATGAAAAGGTAGCCCACTGGAAATAAGGGTAGAGGTGGCTAGTGGAGCGAAGAGGAAACCATGTGAAACGGCCCGAAACCCGAAAAATGGGACCCGTTGATTTGCACATCCCCCTTCATTGACCTTCGATCTTATCGTGAATTCCTCCTTTAACTTACGTCTCATAGCTGTGCCCTTTTCAACACTACGCTCTCTCTGCTATCTAATCACTCGCCACGTATAGACCTGCGGCGAGTGATTAGATAGTCGGTGGGCGTACCCCGCCAACCGCGCCAAGAGTGAGCCATGCTAGATCGCCGAGGTCAAATCTTTCGCTGCCAATTGCGCGTCGGTCAGCACCCTCAGGAGGTCCGCCTGTCTCCCAACTATGCAATTTTCCCTTCTTTGACCTTCGTTCTTATCGTGAATTCCTCATTCAATTTACATCCACCAGAAACGTGATCATTTACAATTTCAGATGGCGCAGAAGATCAGCATCAATAGGGGACTCGGACTTGGCATGGCACAATTGGGTGCTTTCGCTCGTATGGGAGTTATGATCAACGTAACTGCTTTCTGAATAGCTTTTCTTGCAAACGGTATTCAGACTGCACGAACGAATCTAGTCCAATAATACACGATTTAGTTAGCTTCCAACGGAAAGAAAGTATCTCGTCAAGAAAACGGTGAAGGACAACGAGTGAGCACCGCGTACGACCCAGACTACGATCTTGATCTCATTGATCGATTGAGTGAGTTAAATAAATATTATCAGAACTATAACTGCATACTATCACAACTTTCAGCTGTAACGGTATTCCCTACCGCAAGGTGGCAAGAGGTATGAGCGCGCGCAAAATGGCTCTTATTCCACAACCACAGTTTACGAAATTTTTTGTGGAACTAACTAACATCATTAGAAATAATATGTTTCACAGAGAGTGGTGACTGGTTTTTAATACTAACTTTGAATGAACTTTACTCGAAACTGAACACGTATTTTGGCTAGGTAAAAAAGAATTCTATGATAGAACGTTCCCACAGCTTCTAAACCGTGCGACAGCCAGTAAGGCTGATGTCAGAGTCCGCAATCCGTCGACGAATTGCGCGAATCGCAAGCTGCTCATTTGAACATTCGGAACACTGAATATGAAGAAATTTGATCATGAACATTTATCCATCATCATTAAGCACAAGTAGTGGCGGTATATGAAAGCACCTCGCGGGTATTGATCGGGGCACTTATGCGCTTTCCGTCGCGCGACGGATCGCAAACTCTGACACCAGCCTAAGTCTTGCTCAGAAGTATTCTGTGTAAAGGTGGACCATCGCTAAGACACTGCTTTGAGAAGCCCTCATTGGCCTGGGCCGACTAGACTGAGCGTTTTTTTTGCTGGCAAATCACTTAGAAAGGCGCTAGCGCCACTATCCCGCGTTTTGGGCCGAGAAAGAGGGATACGTACGACGTTCCTAGACAGCTCTATCCTACCCCCTGGGAAACTCCTCCCTAAACTCATGCTGGGTTATGCTTTTGAATCAAGTTGTGGGTTAATGTAGTCGCCCCTTGCCCAAAACTTCAATCTATGGTTGGAACTTGAACCACCTGGCCAATGATCGCTTCTTCGTTAGTTGGGATAGAGATATAGATTGAAGCTTGGTCTTTGATTAGACTCCCTTTTGAACGCGCCACGCAATCTACTTTCATTGAGTATCACAGTGCAAAATCACGGTGATGTTTGAATTCAACATGGTCTTCAATGAATGGCGGGGCTATAAGTCAGTGTTTTTGTTTTCCAAGTTCATTCAAGGTACCAAGTAATCTACTATGAGGATTTAAGTCTCCGTTTGCCTGGACAGCTTATGACCGAAGATTATATCCCCGGGCTGTGTGCATTGTAAGCAGCACCAATTGCCTCCAAACCACTTAAGTTCGCGGCAATATTTACTAATTTCAGCCGAAAAAATCATTGGAAGTGTGTACTTTTGACACTTTGACGACAAGATGACGCGCATGCGCGTCAGATTTTTACGCGCATGGACACGCTTTGCTCGATATACATATGGTATCTTTCACGCGCTCAGACTGGGCTTTATATTATGGATCCAATAATTAGTACATTTATTACCATTGGAGCAGAATACTGAACGGGATGTTGGTTATGAAAGAATACTGAAAAAGACGCACACACAACGGACGATCGTCAACGTATCAAAATAATGGCGAATTTGCTCGCTCACGTATTTTTTAGCTACTTAGTAGACACCCTACTGTCAGGCCCATTGAAAAAGTATCAATTTTGAGCAGCAAACTGCAGTGGCCATGATACCTCCAAAGCGTACACATACTGTACTGCGATTTTTCTAAATGGCCCGATCATAGCTGTGCAGGTGTAGGTCAGGAGCCACCTCGTAGCGACTGCGGCATTACTAGCGGCATCATCCGCTCAACATTACGGGGCTGCGCAAATACGGTGGCAGAACAAATGTTGTTTCGTAAAAAATCAGAAAGGGGAAATGGGATTGCAACTGCAATATATTAGGGTCGGAAAAGTCTTTGCGCATTAGTCAACGTTTTTTCAAAATTGTTTTTCTCATTTAGTACTGCCAACAAATAAGAATAACTGCATGACCGTTATTGTCAAAACATTGCTCTTCAGCAGGCAACGTTAGATGCCGATCATTCAGAAATCACGAGCTTCTAAGGCGAAAATCTTGAAGAGGCTCTCTCCAATTAGGTCTGAATTATCGGACTACCCCTGTTTTGGTTGGTCTGACGGCAACAGAGCCCTATGGTAGTTTGTCTGTGCCAAATTTGCTAAATGCACAGGCGGGTCAGATCTTCCCATAAGGAGCTTGGAGACTTTTGCTGGACCTTCTTCGTAATTCGTGGACGAGCGTTGCCAAGAAAAAGTAAAGTTTACCAGATTTTCCAAGGACCATGCCGGTGGACCGATCCATTTGCCAACATTATTGTTCGGCAGTAGTAGCTGACGACCTTCTTCAACCAAGTCGTTGCAGAAAAGAAAGTGCCTGAGAGTTGGCAACAGAGCACGACGATTCCGATTTGGAAGAAAAGGGCAGTCCTGCAGACTGCACGAGCTACCGTCCAATTCGTCTGCTCTCCCACAGCATGAAGGTATTCGAGCGAATTGTAGATCGCCGTATTCGTGACATAGTCCAGCTTACCGTGAACCAATGCGGCTTCGTGACTGGCTGCGGCACCATTGATGCCATACACGCCGCTCGTCTTCTGCTAGAAAAACACCGCGAAAAACAAAAGCCGGTGCATTTTGCCTTCTAGACTTGGAGAAGGCTTTCGATCGCGTTCCACGTGAAGTTATATGGTATGCCTTACGACAGCATGGCGTCCCCGAAGAGCTTATTGAGTGGGTTCGCATGCTTACTCGAGTCCAAAGAGCCGAGTGCAAACGGCAGCAGGCGTTTCGATGGAATTCCCCATCTCTGTCGGGGTACATCCAAGGCTCTGCGCTTATCCCCACTCTTTTTGTTGTCGTCATGGATGCCATTCACGAGATCTTCAGAAACCGGCTCCATGGACGCTTCTCTATGCTGATGACGTGATGCTCGCCTGCGAAGACAAAAACGTACTCGAGCAACAAGCGCAAGCTTGGTGCCGATCGCCTAGCGATGTTCGGACTCAGGTTGAACGTTAGGAAGACTGAGTACCTGACAACCGACACGAGCGAGTGCGGTTCTATCAAAATAAATGGAACAGAGCTGACACGTACAACGACATTCAAGTATCTTGGATCAGCAATTGCGTCTGATGGCAGTATGAGTACTGAGGTGAACTCGCGTGTGAGTGCGGCTTGGTCCAAGTGGCGTTCTATGACGGGAGTTCTCTGTGACAAGAAAATCCCAGAACGCCTAAATCGAAGATCTATAGGACAGTCATAAGACCAGTGGCATTGTACGGCGCTGAGTGCTGGCCAGCGACCAATGGGATACTGAAACTCGCCTCGGTGTAATGGAGACGAAGATGCTGCGCTGGACGGCTGGTGTCACGCGATTAGATCGCGTTCGGAACGATGTCATACGAGAACGCTTTGGTGTAGCTCCCATTGCTGATAAAATGCGCGAAGCCCGGCTTCGATGGTATGGCCACGTTCTTCGCGGAAATGATGACAGTGTTCGCAAGATCGGCCTCAACATAGACGTGCCGGAAAGCGGCCTAAGGGACGCCCGAAACAGCGCTGGCTCGATACGTTGCACGCAGACTTGAAGTTGGTTAACATCCACCCCGACCAAGCATTTAATCGGGAAAAGTGGCGTCAGCACATCAGAAAAGCGGACCCCGCCAACAAGCGTAACAACAAGCAGCAACAAACGCTGAGGAATAAGAAGAAGATTGTTCGCCAGTAGTAGTGGAGTTCGCTTGGCAGCAGCTCTCCGTGAGCGAAACATTTGCAGCCTCATGAGCTTTCAAAGTTGCCTCCCAGGTTGCAGTTCTCGAATCGGCGTTGCAATCCTTTGTTCTACGCATCCGAGCCAGTCGTGCTTTCGCGTGTGGTTTACGTGAAGATCTTTCTTTTTGTTGCCACCAACAAAGTTGTCGGGTCAAAAGAGAGACAGACGCTGAACCAAAATGTTCATCTGAAATATCTCCCCTGGTGACAAGCTTTTGCATTTTCGTGGTACGTTGCTTGTTACTTGCGTGATGTCGCGAAAGGTGCCCACGGCTGGTAATGCATGCCACATTATCCGCTTTCGCATCCAGAGAGCTGAACAGAAAAAATGAACACGGTGACGTATTCCACACACGTGCTTCCACATTGCATAAACACCTTCAAGAAGCGGGCGCGAGAGAGATCGCGCGATTCGCTAGCGATTGTCGCAAAGCCTGACACGTACATTACCGAAATTTGATCACCAATATATATCATAGATATACTCGATATCGGTGAGTTGGGGTGGGCGTGTCACCGGAAGTGACGTGCACTTGATAGAAACTATGTGGATAAGCTGCTTCCAACATACATCGCTGGATATCAGCAAAGCATGCTGGCAACAGCTTATCCACGCACTTCTATCAAGTGCACGTCACTTCCGGTGACACACCCACCCCAACTTTCGGATATCGACCGTGTAGTAGCCGTATTATCCTGAGTTATTTTTGATGTTGTTGTTGTCCGAACTTCTTCGTTCAGTTCCAACGTGTTATCTCAGCGACCACGATATTGAAGTGAGCAACGTCTTCGAAACTGTTTCCGCGGAGTGAAAACCATTTCTATAAGGACTTCTCTCATCTTCTCTCCATGCAATTGTGAAGATACTCGTAGTTAATCAGGATTGTGTATCAACTTCTGTTGGATAAAGAATGTTGAACGATTTCCGTTGATCAAAGAGTCAAGCTTCCAAAGTCTAAGGTCTGCGATAACATTCAACAAACGCTGCTAAAGAATTCCTTGGCGATAATCTCGTTTATATAGTTTTTTTTTCTCGTCAGGTTATTTGGGACTAGCACCTCTGAACTATTTCGAATCGATGAGAAGCTTTGAATTAAACTCCATGCTATTGGTCTTAAAGGCAATATAAGTGCGACTAGCTTGACAATAATTGTAGCTGTAACCTTAGCACAAACAAAGGAACTATAGGTATTTTCAATCATTAGGAAGTGAAGGATCGACAACTATTCCGAAACTTGGTTGGAGCTGCTCCAATCCTTTTTTTCAGCCAGACTTAATGGCAAATTTTCAAAATTCTCAGGGATTATAGTATGGCACTTTCGATCTCTTTCTTTGTGGGCAGGCGAAAGTGATAAAAAAGAAAAAGGCACCATTTACCGAGCGAGGCTAGGGATCAGATCACGGACCGACT